CGTGTACGTCGACGACTTGGTCTTTGCCACAGCTGACACTGCTGGACTCGCCCACATGAAGTCCGAGCTGCAGAAGAGACACACGTGCACAGACCTGGGTGAACTGCGCAGCTACCTTGGCTTGCAGATCACCCGGGACAGAGCACGCCGCACCATTACCCTGACTCAGTCACACATGGTGCAGCAGGTCCTTCAGCGCTTCGGCTTCACGTACTCCTCGCCTCAGGCCACTCCTCTGCCTACTCGCCACTCGCTCTCAGCTCTGCCTTCGGATGAGTCCGTAGAGTCGAGTGGCCCGTACCCAGAGCTTGTTGGCTGCCTCATGTACCTGATGACCTGCACACGACCTGACCTCGCATACCCTCTTAGCATTCTCGCACGCTATGTTGCTCCTGGGAGACACATACCGGAGCACATGGCTGCAGCGGAGAGGGTGTTGCGTTACTTGTGCAGTACGTCGGGCATGGGGCTTGTGCTTGGAGGGCAGAGTCCAGTGGTCCTCACTGGGCACGCAGACGCTTCTTGGGCTGACGACCAGGCTACGCAGCGGTCGTCACAGGGTTACACCTTCAGCCTTGGTTCCGGCTCTGTTTCGTGGCGGGCTACCCGCTCGTCTTCTGTTCTCGGCTCCAGTTGTGAGGCTGAGATCTACGCCGGGGCCATGGCTGCACAGGAGCTTCGCTGGCTCACCTACCTGCTGACTGACCTCGGAGAGCCGCCTCGTTCTCCTCCAGTGCTGTACGTAGACAACAAGGCCATGCTGGCCTTGTGTCGAGAGCAGAGACTGGAACACAGAACGAAGCACATTGCTCTCCGCTACTTCCTTGCTCGTGAGCTACAGCAGCGTGGTCAGCTGCGGCTTGCGTACGTGGCCTCTCAGGCCAACACTGCTGATATCTTCACCAAGGCACTTGCGCCTTGTGATCATCAGCACTTCTGTACTTAGCTGGGTCTTGTGCCTACCTTGCCTCACTTGCTCACCCCTTGACCTTGTTTGTACTGATGCATATATATATACACCTGCTCTTGCCTGTCTAGCCTTATATATATATGTAATCCTGCATGTGAACTGGCCTTGTGGCCTTGAACTTGTGCTCGGAATGAGTGGTGACTCTGTGATCCACCCTGAGCTTGCTTTGCTTTGCTTTGCTTGACTGGTCTTGTGACCCCTTGTTCTCCCCCACTTTGCCTATGGGGGTGTGTCAGATTTATATGACATAGCTACTGTAGGCTATAGTGGGGTAGCCCATATGGGGTACAGTTTTCTAGGGTTCACATTTGTACCCAACTTTCCCTTAGTCAATCCTTTCCTCGTTTCTTCTCAATACATGCTTGAATGAATATAAGGATGCAAATTCTATAAATGCATTATGCAATGATGATAATAATGCTTCAATATGCATAATGTTTGATGTTAAAATACATGCATATTAGTTCATGATATAAATGCGTGAAAGCTAACGATCCAAAAACTATGTTATCGCATCCCCTGCCTAGCATGGGGGGGAGCTAACAGCATACCGTCATCACCCGGATATAAGACAATGTTGAATAGAAGACAGGGGGTGTCTATTATCCGGGTGTCTCTTATAAACGAGATAGCCTCATTATAAGACACCTATTTGTGTGTACGAGTTAAGCCAGTGTAGGAGTTAGGGACAATTGTAAAACGAGGGGGTATCTTCTAAACGGTTCTTTGTCCATTTATAAGACTTAAAAGACACCCTAAACCGTCCCAGATACAAGACAACCCAAGCATTTTTGCCCGTGTACGAGATAAGACATATATGTCTTATATCCGGGCGATGACGGTAATCCTTGAACAATCAGCAGTCACATGAAACAACACAATCTGTGAACTATAAAAAGATGGTCAACTCTATCATCTCCAGCTCAAGTGGGCTCCCGACAGGCGCGCCAATGAACCTTCTAATGAAATGATAGACCTGATTCACCTTTTTAAAACCCAGAGACATGCATTGTCATTGCAATGATAGATGAATGCACACTCAGACAAGCAAACACATTCACAACAACCAAACGCATGCACAGCATATAAACGAGCCAGAAACCCACGAAAATACATATGGTAAAACATGCAAACAAAGTAAAAATGGCAATATGGTAAATCCTATAAGTGACAACTACAAATTCTCCAGATTGGAGTCGTCTTCCGGATTAGCAAGACTCCTGAGAACAAAAAAAACACAAGGATACAGAGAAAAGGAAATCATAGAAAACTGTTAGACATGAATAATCAGGATACAAAATTACGGATGATGAAAAGGTGGAAGCAGAAAACAGAAGCAGAAAACGAAAGCAGCAAACTGAAGCAGTAAACATAATGGAGGAAGGAGGAAAGGAAGTATGGAAGGTAGGAGGGAAGGAAAGAAGGAAGAACGGACGGGAGGAATGAGAGAGCGAGAGCGAGTGGGAGAGAACGAGAGAGAGAGCGAGAGAGAGAGAGAACGAGAGAGAGAGAGAGAGAGAGAGAACGAGAGAGAGAGAACGAGAGAGAGAGAGAGAGAGAACGAGAGAGAGAGAGAGAGAGAGAGAGAGAGAGAGAGAGAGCGAACGAGAGAGAGAAAACAAGAGAGAGAGAGAGAGAGAGAGAGAGAGAGAGAGAGAGAGAGAGAGAGAGAGAGAACGAGAGAGAGAGAAAACGAGAGAGAGAGAACGAGAGAGAGAGCACCAGAGAGAGAGAGAGAACGAGAGAGAGAGCACCAGAGAGAGAGAGAGAACGAGAGAGAGAGAGAACGAGAGAGAGTACGAGAGAGAGAACGAGACAGAGTACGAGAGAGAGAACGAGAGAGAGAGAACGAGAGAGAGTACGAGAGAGAGAACGAGAGGGAGAGAACGAGAGGGAGAGAACGAGAGAGAGAGAGAACGGGCGAGAGAGAACGGGAGATAGAGAACGGGAGAGTGAGAACGGGAGTGAGAGAACGGGAGAGGGAGAACGGGAGAGAGAAAACGAGAGAGAGATAGAGAACGAGAGAGAGAGACAGAGAGAGAGAGAGAACGAGAAAGAGAGAACGAGAGAGAACGAACGAGAGAGAACGAACGAGAGAACGAACGAGGGATAGAGAGAGAGTTCAATAAACTACGTTTTCGAAAAAAAAACCTATGTAGCATATGGGGACAAAAACAGATTTTAAGAACGAAGAAGCGATACAGCTACGAATAGAAGGAGCGGCTCATCGAAGAGTCAGAAAAAGGAGAAGGAAGGTGAAGAAAGGATAAAGAAAAAAAGGTAACGAAAACCAAGACAGACGTCACTAAATGCGGAATCTATTAAAAGGAAGGAACAGCTCGATAAAATCTCAATAAACGGAATGAACGAGATCAGTAAGGAACGAACATGGGACTGGAAGGAAAAAAAATGGGAAACAATAACTGGAAAGCATATAAATAGAGACATCGCAAGGTAAGACGAGAGATAAGAGCGCGATAGGGAATGAAAAGAAACATGCAGCCTTATTAACGACCTAAGGAAAGCTGACGTCCTTACAAAGGCCTGGAACTTAGGCTTTAACTGCTAGTTAAAACGACCAAATGCGGAAGTAAGCGAAGATCCTAGTCTAGCTCGTAATCGTCTAACATAGTCTCTACTCAAAGGCTACAAGTCTTCTCACCTTTAGGAGATAGCAGCAGATGGAGCGTGAGTATGGGGCTGATATGAAGAACTGGGCTCCACTCACGAGTGGGAGAGACAAAGAAGAAAGGGACGTCGAAACCCTAGAGCAGTTCAAATTTCGTCGCACAGCAAACGTACTATTTATGTCAAAAATGCACGAACATGTGTTGTTTGTGGCGCAGTTGTAAGGAAACCGCTTGGAAGCCGAAAGGTCTTCAGTTTGATGCTTGAATGGTCGGAATTAAAGCTTTTGTATACATTTGCAATTACTGTTTAGGGTTGTACAGTAGCCCTGGGATCTTCGCCCAAACGAACAGAAATGAGGTTCGTGAGGGGTTTGGCGAAAATTTGCAGAATGAATGGTTCGAGGCACGGGAAGCTCCCCCGTCACTCAACCTTGCAGAGACACTCAAAGCCCGAAGCATGATAAGCGTCTAATAACATAGCCATAGCATAGATAAGCGGAGACCTCCTGGCGAGACGTATACTATGAGGAATTCACCACTCAAATAAGCGCTAGTGCTACGGGACTACCAACATTGTAGGCGTTGTCTAGTACAAGGGGCATCTAGTTTGGCCGCCAGCTCCCTTCCGCCGCAGCGCCCACCAGCAATCGGACGGGCTGCAGCTGTGCATTCGTCGAGCGCGTCGTGCAGCATTTATCGGCTGAGACTAAGCATCAAGGGCGCCTCATCTGGTAGCATCACCACGCTTGGTCGCCGCGTAAGAGTAAGCCGTTTCGCGGTTAGGGAATTTAGCGTCCGTCGACGGGCTCAGCGCGTAGCATGCACCTCGCGACGCCGCCACTCTTCTTACCGCCTCGCCCGCGGGTCGCCATTGGGGCTTAGCGCCGCGCCCGCTGCGCGCCTTCTTCCCGCTGAGCTCCCGTCCCGCTGCGCGCCTGCTTCCCGCTAAGCGCCCGTCCCGCTGTGCGCCTGCTTCCTGTCTAGCGCCTCACCCTACTCGCGCCTGCTTCCCGCTAAGCGCCTCACCCGCTGCGCAACTGCTTCCCGCTAAGCGCCCGTCCTGCTGCGCGCCTGCTTCGCGCTTATCACCTCACCCGCTGCGCGCCTGCTTCCCGCTAAGCGCCTCACCCGCTGCGCACCTGCTTCCCGCTAAGCGCCCGTCCCGCTGCGCGCCTGCTTCCTGCGTAGCGCCTCACCCTACGCGCGCCTGCTTCCCGCTAAGCGCCTCACCCGCTGCGCGCCTGCTTCCTGCTAAGCGCCTCACCCGCTGCGAGGGTTTAGGGCCGCTAAGCGCCCGTCCCGCTGCGTGCCTGCTTCCCGCTTAGCGCCTCACCCGCTGCGCGCCTGCTTCCCACTTTGCGCATGCGCATAATCTTCACATTTCCCCCCCTTCTCTCCCCATGTTTTCCCCGCTTCTCCCCGTCATTGCCCCCCCTACTCACCCTCCTTTGGCCTCCGTGCTTCCGCTCATTTCCCCCTCTTCTCCCTCAGTTCCCTCCCTTCACCCCCACGTTCCCCCCATTCTTCCTCTGATTTCCCCCCCTCCACCCTCACATTACCCCCCTTTCTCCCCCTCAATGACCCCCGCCTTCACACCCCCATTTCCCCCTGAATTCAAGGCATCCAACCCCCCCCCCCCCCATCCTCTGAGTTCCCCCCCCCCTCTCCCACTCAGATTCCCTTCTACTCGCTCTCAAATCCCCCCTTATCCCTATCAGCCCCACTCGCCCTCATTTTACCCCCTTCTCCTCCTCATTTCAGCACATTTCCCCACCTTCTCGCTCTCATGAGTGGCGTTGTCCTCCCCCTCCTGTTGCTCCCCATCATCCCTCTCATCACCCCCTCTTCGCACCCGCATTTCCCCCCCTTCTCGCACTCAAATCCCCCCTTTCTCCGTCTCGTCTACCCCCCTTCTCCCAATCATTTCCTCCTTTTCTCTCTCTCATTACCCCCCCTTGCCCCCTCTCACTCCCCCCAGCACCCCTCCTCCCCTCACCATCATTTCCCCCCTTGCTCGCACTCATTTTCACCCCTTCGCCCTCTCATTACCCCCCCGTATCCCCCTCATTTCCCCCCCTTCTGCCCCCCATTTCTTCCCCTTCTCCTTCTCATTCCCCCCCCTTCCCCTTCTCAGATTCCCCCATTCTCGCTCTCAACCCCCCCTTTCCTCCCCTTCCCCTCTTCTCTCTATCATTTCCACGCTTCTCCCCCTCATTACCTCCCTTGCTCCATCTCATCCGCCCGTTGCCCCATCTCATTCCCCCCCCTTGATGCCCTCATTTTCTCCCCTTCTCCCTCTCGTTGATACCCCAGCTCCCCTTCATTTCGCCCCCTTCTCCTTCTCACTTCCCCCTTTTCCCCGCCATTCCTCCCCCTACTCCCTCTCAGTTCCCCCCCCTTCCCCCTCTCACAATTCCCCCTTCTCGCTCTGAAATCCCTCTTTTCTCCCTCTCCTCCCCTCCCCCCTCCCTCTTCTCCCTATCATTTCCCCGCTTCTATCCCTCAGTGCCTCCCTCGCTCCATCTCAATAACCCCCTTGCGTCCTCTCAGTTCCCCCCCCCCCCTTCTCACCCTCATTTTATCCCCTTTGCCCTCTCATTTCAGATCCTGCTCCCACGCATTTTCCCCCCTTCTCACTTCGATTCCCCCCTTCTCCCTCTTATCCCTCCCTTCTCCCCCTCATACAACAACATTTCTGCCATCTCATCACCCCCTCTTCGCCACCTCATTTCCCCCCCATTTATCCCCCTTCTCCCTCTCTCCCCCCCCCCCCCTCGCCTTCCCCTACTCAAATCCCCCCCTTCTCGCTCTCAGATCCCCCTTTCTTCCCTTTCCCCTCTACTCTCTATCATTTCCACGCTTCTCCCCCTCATTTCCTCCCCCGCGCCATCTCAATTCCCCCGTTTCTCACTCTCAGCCCCCCCCCCCCCTTGCTTCCCTCATTTTCCCCCCTTCTCCGGATGGGGCCGGGGCCGGCAAACCAATGCATAGAGTGCTCTACGATAACAATACATTTCAGAACTTAACGTACCTTGAATAGTAGCGACCGTATGCCTCATAGTTGACCATGTCGGGGCAACCTTGCACGGCCATGAAACGCGCCAAATCCGGGTAGAGAACGATGGGGGCGTCCTTCTGAGCACACCACTGGGCCGTCTGCATGCATTTGACGACCCTCGCCATCATCGGGTCCTTGCTCAACATGTCCACGCGTTGGCGCACCTCCGTTCTTTGTGCGAGACGTTCTGCTTCCATGGCGGCCAGATGAACCTTGGAAAAGTCGTGTTGCTTGCACGCAGACTTCTGGAAATCGCGCGCACCAACGCCATTATGACCAAACGGAGATTTCGTGTGAGGGGCGAAGGTTGAGCACATCGAACATTTCATACCGTACTGACGGTGAACGCGGTTGTACTTCAAGGATAGCCACGAATACGTCTGCTTCCATGAAGGGACGAACCGACGGCCGAGAGCGCGCTCAGCATCGGGGATGTCGGTGTTCGTGGGCACCTCCGCTTAAGCCGCGAGAGTTTGGTCAAGCTTGTCCAGATCCTCCTTTGTTGGCGCAGGTTGCTGGCTTCGCTGCCATTTTTTCGGGGAGGACGGTGGGTCCGCAAAGCTCAGTACTGCCTGTCAAAATCGGCCACGAGTCCTGCACGAGGACTCTCCGCTCTGCAGGGTGTGTGAGACAGAGATGGGCACGTCAAGCATGTGTTCATTGTCAGTTTCGTCGTCATCATCAGAGTCTTGGCTGACCAACTCGGTCTCCGTGTGGGAGCTACTCTCTGGGAAAAGTGGGCGGTCATCATAAGCAGTATCGTCGTCACTAGGCTCCATGGCTGAATAATTCTAGTTGAGATGAGAGGGTTCAGAGTGGTGCACTGTGATTCAGAGTGGTGCACTGTGATTCAGAGTGGTGCAGGGTAGTTCTTGCTGGAGTGCTGCAGTGCTCTATTCCTGGAAATGTGGAGTGTGGGGCAGGTGGACCACACGTCTCTTACCCCACTCATCCTTATCTTTCCCTGCCAGGCGCTCATACCAGCAGCCCTGTACGTGCTAGTGGCGGGAACATGTGAGGGAATGAGGAGTGTGGGGTAGGTGGACGGCTGGGGCAGCGGAGAGGCATGCTCACACGATTCCTTCCATCCCGTACCCCACTCCTCCATCTCTCCTCCCCACAGGCGCTCATACCAGCAGCCCTGTACATGCTAGTGGCGGGAACATGTGAGGGAATGAGGAACGTGGGGCAGGTGGACGACTGGGGCAGTGGTGAGCTCGTGGCTCTGCACTCCCCTCTTGTGCTCATGGACCTCTGTCTCGCTGCGTGGCTCGTCCCGACCGCTCGTGCTACGGAGGCGCAGGTGAGGCGTGGCAATCTGTTGGGGCACGAAGACATGTGGCTGGGGCACGAAGACATGTGGCTGGGGCACGAAGACATGTGGCTGGGGCACGAAGACATGTGGCTGGGGCAGCGGATAGCACGTGGCTCTGCGCACGCCTCTTGTGCTCATGGACCTCTGTCTTGCTGCGTGGCTCGTCCCGACCATGCCACTCCGTTGTCGCCGACCTTGAAGTACAGAGCCTCGTCGACCTGGCTCTTCTTCCACCCGGCGCCGACGTCGTTGAGTGCCAAGTACCACAGCAGCGGCGACTGCTTCAGCCTGTACAGGCTCTTCAGCAGCTTGCAGACCCGGCCGGTTCCGTCGTTGAAGTAGTCCGGCTGGGACATGTAGAATACCCGGTCGAGCTTGCTCTGCAGGAAGGTGTTCTTCATGTCGAGCTGCATCAGGTTGAGGTTGAGGACGGCGACGATGCTGAAGAAGATCCTCAGCGTGACGTAGCTGCCCACCGGCTCGAACGTCTCGTCGTAGTCGGCGCCGTACACCTGCGTGAAGCCCTTCACGACCAGCCTCGCCTTCTCGCGCTCGACGGTGTTGTCGATGTGGTACTTCGTCGTCAACACCCACCGGTTCTTCATGACGTTCACCCCCGGGGGCGTTCGACCAGCTCCCATGTGCCCATGTTGATGAGGCTGCGGATCTCCTCCTCCATGGCGGCCTTCACCGCCGGGCCCTTCCAGCTCGCCATCGTCGAGATGTCCCAACGGTGCTTGGGTTCGGCATGCATGTCGGGGTCGAGCTCCGGAAACTCCTCATCCTCCTCGGCGTCGTCGTACAGCAGGTCGTCGTCGTCCACATGGTACACCGTGGTGAAGGCAGCGGGGACGAAGAAGTCCGGTGGCCTCCAAACTCGGCCTAACTTCCGGGGCTCTGGCCGAACCTCCACCACGTCACTCTTGGTGGACACCTCGGCGTCCCCTCCTTCGTCACCGTCTTCACTGCCCTCATCGTCCTGCTGCACCTCGGTTGACTTCCAGGCCGACCTCTCCCCTGTAGTCGGCTCCTCTATCGACTGCCTGGTTGCCGACTGTTCCGTGGTCGGCGTCACTGCTGCTTGCTCCCCTGTCGGCTGCTGCACTGCTGTTGCCTTCTTTGCCGGCTTCACCCACGGCGGCTGCTCCTCCTCGACCTGCTCTTCCCCAACGTCGACATGCCGCTCGTCACGTCGGCCATTGGCGATGCCCTTGGCCGGCACCGAAGGCGACGTCCCACTACTCCCCTCATCGCCGGAGGCCGACGCAGGAGTCAGCCCGCGCAGGTCGGCCACAAGGGGAGGGGCAGGGGCCGCAGGGAAAGGCGAAGGAGGACGGACGACCTCGGCGTCCGCATCAACAAGCTCACCGACCTCAGCGAGCAAAGGCAGCGTCGCCGGCGGGGTGGTCGGCGCCCGACCTGACGCTGGCCCGTGCTCCGACTTCCACACCTCCAGCGACGAATCCTCGTAGAACACCACGTCCGACGTGGTGACCACCCCGTTGGCGTCGATGTCGAGGAGCTCCCAGCCCTTGCTCTCCGTTGACACGCCAAGGTGAAGGCCCCACCTGGCCTTTGGCATCAGCTTCCCACCACGCTGTTGTGCGGGGACAAGGAACTGCGCCATGCAGCCCCACACCCGCGCCATCGACAAGTCGGGCTTCTGCACGATCAGCAGCTGGTACGGCGTCGTCCCCGGCGGCAGCGTCTACATCTCAAGGAAGTTGCGGACCCAGACGGCTTGCCGCAGAGCGAGGTGCCACCAGTGGTGCTGCACGCCCATGTGCAGCAGCATCGTCCGCACCGACTCCACCACCGTCCGCATCTCCCTCTCCGCCATGCCGTTCTGCTGCGGGGTGTACGGGCAGGTAAGGTCGTGGACGATCCCCTTGCCGTCCACGAAGTCGGTAAACTTCTTCCCGAGGAACTCCCCTCCTCGGTCGGAGCGAAGCATCAGCATTGACTTTGTTGTCTGCCTCTCCACCAACATCAGCCACTTCTGGAACTCCAGCAGCACATCCGACTTCTTGGCGACCGGCCTCACCCACACGAAGCGGGTCTTGCGGTCCTTCAGCAGCAGGAAGTACAAGCTGCCGTCCTTGGCAGCCACGCGGAACGGCCCGCACAGGTCGATGTGCACGACGGCCAGCACGTCGTCGGCGTCGGAGCCATGGTCGGGGAAGGTGTGTCGCGCCAGCTTCCCGCCGACGCACGAGACACACGGTGAGGCGGCGCCCGTCGCCGACTTGAGGTCCAGCCCAATGGCGACCTCGTTCTTCGCCGAGCTCCTGATGGTGTCCATGCCGACGTGCGCAAGCCTCGCATGCATCCTGTCCAGCGTCGACTTTGTCTGAGAGACGATTGCCCGCAGGGCCACAACCTCCGGCATGGGCGACGTGGACCTCGTGGAGCAGGGACGCAGGTCGGTGCAGAGGACACGCCTGGAGTACGTCGCCCGACCGAAGACTTCCTTCGTCCCCATCAGGTGGTGGGAGCAGCCGCTGTCGAGCAGGACCACCGCCGGGTTCGCCTGCACAGCTGCCGCCAGCAAGATGGTCGGCTCCGGCCTCCGGCGCCAGTGAGCACGACGCCGGCTTGTCGTCCCGCGCCATGCCGTCAGTAGAGGAGTCGGCGTCCTTCGCCGAAGTCGACGTCTTGGTCGACTGCTTCTCCTTGCACGGCTGGTTTCCTCCTCGACGAGGACGACGACTGCTAGACCTCCGGCGGCCTCCCTTGGCGTCGTCGTCTTCGGAGTCACTGCGGTCGGGGCACTCGAAGGAGAGGTGGTCAGGGCTGTGGCAGATCCAGCACTCCCGACGTCGACTTCCTCCTCCTCGACCGCTGTCCCTGGTCGACGTCTTCTTGTCGACCTCCTTGGCCGGCTTCCGGCCACTGCTACCTCCGCCGCCAGACTGTCCGCGCTACCCCGGTCGACCTCCTTGCTTTGCCGGGGCGATGAAGTTGGCCTGCGCCAAGAGCTCCTGTGATCGCTCTGCATCCTGCATCGCCTCATCCTGCAGGATGTACGAGGTCAAGTTGTCCTCGTTGAGCGTCGTCCTCGTGCTCGGCGCCATTGACAGCCGCTTCAGGAGGTTGTAGTTGCTCGAGAGTCCCTGCATGACGTGGGTGACGTACGACGCCGTCGAGTACTGCGCGCCGGCCATCCTGATGGTGGCGATAATTCGCCGGGCTCGGTTCCAGTAGTCGGTCGCCGTCTCCTCGTCGCCCATGCGCAGGTGCGTCAGCTCTCCCTCCAGCTGGGCGATGTACAGGTCGTCGGTGACTTGGTAGGTTGACTCAATGAAGTGCCACACCTGGTGGCCAGCGTCGAGGTACTCCCGACACCACTTCAGGGCGATCTGCACGCCCGGCGAGCAGCACCGCGAGATGACCATGAAGGTCAACAGCTGCACTGCTCGGAACTCCGCACGTAAGTCGGGGTCGTCCGGCGTCTCCACAATACCTCGAGCAAAGTTTATTAGCCCAGCCATCTCCAGCTGGGGCTCGATGGCTTCCTTCCAGGTGAGTATGTCTTGTCGACCAACGAGCGGCGGGGTGACCAGGATCCTGTCCGGAGCAAACTTGAAGTAGCCGTAGCTCGGTGCAATCCCGCCCGCCGTCACCTGGGTCGCCGACATCGGCGACAATCCGCTTCGTCGTCCTCCGACGTCGCCCTGCGAGGAGCCTGCAGCCGCCGACGACTGCACCCCTCGCGCCTGAACGCCGCCGACTTCATCGGCGTGAATCACACCTCTCTGCCTCGACGTGCCTCCCGCACTGCTGCCGACTTGGCCACCTCCGGCGTTGACGCCCACGTCGACGCCGCCTTCGTTGGTCACTGGTCGAGGAGAAGCTGGTCGAGAAGGGGGATGCTTCGTCGCCCACACGGAGCGGAGTCCAGCCTCGACGACCGCCCAGGGTATCGTCCCGTACTCCTGGGCCTCATGGCGTCTCCTCGCATCCTCCAGCCGTCCCTCCAGGGTGTCCATCACCTTGGTGTCACCTACGCGCACCTACGCGACTGTACGGCTGCCGGCCTACGAACAACTTAGGTAAGTGACCTCTACGTCGACCTGACTGAAAGGTAAGTCGTGTGTCCACGCTCACCGCACCATGCGGAGATAACTACTACAACGGGAGCTGGACTACGGGCTAGGCGTTCGTTGGTCCTTAGTCGTTTTCCTAGTGCACACACAGCTTGCTAGTTCACGGGGAGAATTGGCAAGAGTTTTACTAGAGAAAGTTGACAACAACAGTACAATGAAGTTGGCATAGCAAGACAACATCAGAGCTAGCATTCAGGTCGGTCGAATGCCAGCACAGCATGGTCGACCGCGTTCCAGCACGACTTGGTCGACCGCGCTCCAGCAGTGCAAGGTCGACGGCGTGCCAACGTTGCAGGTTGACGGCGTGCCAGCGTTGCTCCCGCAGAACAGCAGGTTGACGGCGTGCCAGGTGCTCGCAGATGATTGGCGTGCGAAGCCTTGTCACCTGCACAACGCACACACCAAGTCAACCTGGCGCTGATGACTGCATCTGATCAGCCACGTCGACCTCGGGATACCACCACCAAGGTCGGACTTGCCAACTTCGCCTGGGCGACCGTCGCACTCCTCCGCAGAACCTCGTCACCCAGGTAACCTGGTCGACCGGGCAACCACGTCAACCAGGTGCTCCTGTATGTGCCTGTCGACCTCCCAAGTCGACGACCACCCCAAGTCGACCTCACCAGGTCGACCACTCTCCTGGTCGACCAGCTCCACGTCGACCAGCACTCCTGGTCGACCAGCTCCATGTCGACCAGCGCAGGTGTCAGCCGACCACCCAAGTTGGCTACCCGAAGTCGGCGTCACCAAGTTGACGCCCTGCTACTCGACGCCCAACTGCTCGGCGTCCTGAGTCGAGGTCGACGTCGGCCCCTCCTTCGTCGGCCACCAGGTCAGGTCGACCAACAGCAAGTCAACCAACAGGCCTGGTCGACCAGCCACCAGGTCGACCAGCAGTCCTGTCAGCCGACCACCCAAGTCGGCTGCCCCGAAGTTGGCGTCACCAAGTTGACGCCCTCCGCAGGTCGACTTCCCAGGTCGACCTCCCTGAAGTCGGCGCCACCCTGAAGTCGGCACCCGCGCAGTGGCCCCCGTGCAGGTCGACCTCCTCGTCAACCAGCTCGCCCACTGCTGCTGGTCGGTTGCTCCCCTCACACGAAGTCGGCTCTGCCCAAGCGAGGACGGGGCCAACACACAACTCCCGTTGACAGCCAACATGTTGGAGGAGGGATTCCTGCATTTTTTTTTCACCAATTGCGCGGCCCACTGCCTTGACCTTATGTTACACGACATCGGCAACATACGGGCGGTTCGGTGGGTGCTTCAACAAGTACACCGGGTCGTGATGATGGTGAAGGGGAGCACGTCGGCTGTCACCCTCTTCTGCGAGCTCTTTAGCAAGCTCTCCCTAGTACGGCCGGGAGCATTTGGTAACCATTCAGGGTTCCGGACACGAAATCTCGAGTTCCCCTTCAGCTCATCCTTATCCTTGAAGAATAAATGAAGCGAAATCTGGCGAAGGAGCGTGTCAAGCTCAACGTCGCGAGAAAGGGAAGAGGCATGCGTTGGTATGAACTTCAGACCCAATCCCATCCCTTTCTTCTCGTCCGAAGACAAGAGCTGAGGTTGTGAACTCCCCGATTCCGGATCCGCGCCGACACCTGTCGCACTGTCAGCCGTCCGAACCAGCGGAGCACCAACTCATGGCTCGTTAGTTCTTGTGCGGCCCTTTTCCGGGGCCGCCTCCGCCGTTTTTTTTATCCCTTAGCCTTCACGTCTGCTGCCTGGCTTATCGCTTGCTGGTCCTTCTTCTTACCCCTGCGCTTCTTTTTCGGCTTCGAATCCCCCGCCGTACTCGCTGAGTGGCGCTCCGTGGTCGGAGTAGTGTGCGTCGGCTTCCCGGCAGGGGTGTTCTTCGGCTTCTTGTCAGCAGCAGTGGCCTGGGGGGGATCCTGTTGTCCCATAGAGAGATTTTTAAGCAGCTTCTTCATCAGACTGGCCTCAAGTTTCGGAACCATCTCCCTCCGAATATTGTCTTCAATTCGCTTCGCATGCTGTTTCATTATCTCCCCGACCCTAGCTTCAACCTCCATTTCCTGCACCTCCTCGGACGCAGCAGCTTTCTTCAACTCTTCGGCGGCGGTCTTGTTCTGTCGGTCGATCTCACGGATGACAATTTCATCCCTTGCAGCCACGATGTCAGAATTGGCCTTCTCGATGCAACGACCATTGAACACTCGGTATTTCTCCTTGGCGGCATCTGAAACCACCAGATCAGGGTCAGCACTCAAGCCTTTGATGTATTCTTCCATTCGTGAAGCTAGTGCAACGACATGCGAGTCCACAGCCTTCTGAATCTCGTCAATCTCCTGTGCTTTCGAGGCGATAAAATATGCTTGGAGCCGCTTTTGATTCGCCAGGAGAATCTCTGCAACGGATGCCACTGATTTCTCCTTTACGAAGGCAAACTTCGTCTGGAATTCGACGGCCTTAGTGCGTATGCTTTGGAGCACACGCCTTGGCGGTCAAGCTCCTTCATCTTCTTGAGCTTGCTTTTCGCCTTAAGCAAATTCTTGAACACGTCACGGAATCCCTTAACAGCCGACGTCGTCCACCCATTGAGTTCTGGGATTGGAGAGTTATCAGCCGGGTCCGACATGACTGGACGACTCCCAGAAGGTCCGGGGAGATGATCTTCAGCTTGCTTGTTAGATGTAGCGGGTTCGAGTGTGAGTGCCAGAGGAGGAATCTTAGCACGCGCCGCGGACGCATTCGCTTTCCTTGCAGCACGCAATGTACCTCCTTCTCCTCGAACCCTCTTGATCGAAATGTGATTCCCTGCACCGGCCTCTTCCTCATCGGATGAATTCCAATCGAAGTCCCACGGGTAGTCGTCACTCATGGTTAGGAAGGGCAGCAGTGCTAGGAAAAAGCTTTAGCAAGTAAAGAAGGAGAGTTATAAAACCCTTGCTTTGAACGCAAAAGCTGTAATCACTCAGAGAGAACATGTTGCAAATATGTTTCGGCAGGTCGGGGGAAAACCCGCCAGGCCTTCATTAGTGCTTCTGAACACAACGAGATCTACAGCTAGGTATAAGCTAAGCACTAACCCACATCGCAAACAGAAATCAAGGTTTCCAACTACTCAGATTGCCTAACAATCGGCATTTGCCAACACAGCACTGGGTAAAAACCCAAGGTCACAAATGTCAGCCTTCCGTGGTGTCTTCGTCAGGGCTATCGATAAGCCTTAGAACCTTCGCTCGCACGAGTAACTTTTGCAGGTTACGTGCACACCTCCATGCAATATAAACATTTCCCATATAAAATCCGAGTCAACTGAGACGATTTTTGAGGCGCCTAAAAAATCGTCGCAGGATGCAATGCGGTGCTGCATGATAGCAAGGCTGGAGAGGGTGGGGCTGGCAAGTAGTGCTGAAGAGGGCAACAAGATTTACTTCCTCCCTTCCCTCACTCTCCTCCCTCTAAACCTCCCATGAGCAGGGAGCAATGAGGCGCCGTGTGCTAGCAGGGCTAAAGGAGGTGGGGCAGGCGGTGCTCCCAACGTGGAGGAGGTGCCTGGGCAGGTGAGGAGAGGGTGGGGGTTGTGATGTGATGATAGTGCTGAAATGCATGAGCGGGAGTGAAGGCGCAGCAGAGGGCAGGTGGTGCGCAGTGGGAGGCCCAAGTTTCTGATGCTGGCGCCTAACATAATGGAGGTGCCTGGGGCAAGTGACCGGAGCAAGGTGATGGGTGTGAGGGGAGGTGAAAGGAGGGGTAAGGGGGTCGTGCGCATGTGTGGAGGAGTTGCCTGGGGCAGGCAGGGAGAGAAGGGGAGTGGCTGGGGGCGAGAGGGTCAAGCGTGTGGTGGGGCGTAGAGGAGGTACCTAGGCCAGGTGAAAGAAGAGGGGAGCCGGGAGCGAGTGGAGGAAGATGATGATGCACAAATACATGGGGAAGGGCAGTGGGAAGAGCAACGGGGCACAGGCGGTGTGCAGTGGGAGGAGGGGCAGGTGATGGGGGCGGGGAGTGAAGGCTCTGATGGGAGGTAAAAGCATTGGGAAGGGAAGCGGCAGCGGGGCGCATGCAGGGTGCTAGGGGGGTGAGCGTACTTGCTCACCCCCCTTGCTCACCCCACTTGCTCACCCTACTTGCTCAACCCACTTGGTCAACTCACTTGCTCACCTCACTTGCTCACCTCAATTGGTCACCTCACTTGGTCACCTCACTTGGTCAGCTCACCTTGTCAGCTCACTTGGTCACCTCACTTGGTTAGCTCGCTTGGTCAGCTCACTTGGTCAGCTCACTTGGTCAACTCACTTGGTCAACTGGATGTGCTGGCGCATTGATTGCCCTCACACTCTGCTCACCACTTGTCTTGAATCGCCAGCGCTGGTATAAGTCCCGTGGCCATTACGGACGAGAATGGTGCCGTGCTTCATCTGCATCTACCCCACGTGTACCTCACATTGCATTGCTCTCACCCTCACGGCGCCCCTTTCTGCTGCTTGCCTTGCATCATGCGCTCTCGTCTTTCATTGCAATGCCCTCACCCACTCTCTCCGTGCGCTGCATTGCCGTCACCCACTCGCTCCTTGCAGCATGCTCACCTCGTACCTCTCGCCCATCTTTCACACACTCAATGCCACACAACCTATTGAGGAGCGTTCTGACTGAGGCAGTCATAGCAGGAGGGGCAGACGGAGCATGCTCACAATGGCCGACATTCCACGTTGTGCTTACCTGATGGCTCTTGCCTGGGCGAGGTAATTGCAGACTAGGGGGGATGAATCAGGTAAGTACAGTCTGCAGAGGAGAGGAGATGCAAGGCGCAATGGACCAGACACAATGGACTAGGCGCAAGGAAGAAGGCGTAAGGGAGCAGGCGCAAGGGAGCAGGCGCCAAGAACAAGGCGCAAGGGATCGGCGGACAAGTTTACCCGTAGACTTGTCAAGTGAGCTTGTAGCATTCGTGGAAAAATCAGTCAGAATTGTTTCAAAATTTTGCTTGTAGATTCATTGTGTTGAGTTTGTGTACAGAATTATAATATCGGCTGTAGGCTTGCTGTAGCCATATTTTATCTTTTAAGTTCTGTGGTTTTCGCGTCAGCTGGTTCGGCCTACTTTCGCGCCCCGAACCAATTACGAGTCGCCTCCGCACTTTTCGCCAACTTCCGAGCCTAGGTTTTCCCGAGGTTCTCGCCTAGCTCGTCGCTGCCTAATCTGTTCTGCACTTCTCTTTTTGTACGAACCTCGCATTCATATCTGGGCAATGTGAGAGCAACGGATTGTAATTCGATAGTGGAAGCGTCGAAGTGACAGACAGGGCAACAAGAGCTCTTCGCGATGTCGGAGAACCGCGATATAAGAGGTGCGAGGCGCAACCCTGGCATTCGTTATGACACGTCATAATAAAGTGACGATACTGAATTGGCAGTCGAAGGATGTTTCGAGCGTCAGGTAGTGGCGCAAACGCTACTGCGTCACAGCGACAGACAGGAAACGACACAGCGCGATGCCCGGCGATGAGAGAGCGACGGACTGCGACAGGAGAGCGACGGACCGCGACAGAGAGCGATGTATTGCGACGAGAGAGCGATCGTCGACGGCGGGAAAACGGCAGCAGACGACGATAAAGCGACGAAAACCGTTACGCGATGGCAGAGCGCGGCAGCAGATGCGCGAGGAGCTGTGGCAATGGCGGGTGGGGCAGCACGCGCGCGGCTTCAGCGGTGGAATTAGCAGTGTCGCTGCGAGCAGCACAGGCCGAAGCGTCGGCGGCGTTGGGGGCGCCGCGAAGAGGCGGTGGAAGCCCGCGCCCGTCGCGCTCCGCCCTTTACCACTTTCTCGCCGCTGCCACCGCCACCGCCGCCATCCTCGCATCCCGCAGGCCCCTACCGCCGCCTCCACGAGAGTCCGCGGAAATCGGCTTGCACGCCAGTGAGAGGGGTAGCGCACATGGGGGCAGCAGTGATGGGCGGCTGCGCGGACGGGGACGGGGAGGCGGAGCGGGGAGTGGAGTCGTAGGGAGGGGAGGAGGAAGGGGGGATGCGGCCGTGCGTGGCTTGGGTTTGGCGGAAACGAGGCGAGGGGTGGGAGAAGGGTGAGCAGGAGGGCGGAGGAGGGGTGAAGGGGCAGGCGATGGGGTGGGGACAGGTGGGGCCAGGCAGGTAAGGGGGGAAAACGGGGGAAAGGTGTGAGAGGGCGTGCTCGAGAGGGTGCGTGGAGACGTGCGGTCGAGTGGAGGGACGGGTGAAGGCAGCAATGTGGGAGAGCTTTGGTGTGAGGCGGGGGAAGGAGAGGCAGACACCGAAGGAGAAGCGAGTGACCCGCTTGAAACGCATGTTGGTGCTGGCGAGACAGGCGCGCGAGCACAAGCGAGGGTGGCAGCGCGAGCGCGTGGGCAGCATGCCGGGTGCGATGCGGCGGCGTGTGCTGGCAGGGCTGAAGGAGGTGGGGCAGGCGGTGCGCAGTGGGAGGGCCAAGTGTGTGGTGCTGGCGCCTAAAGTGGAGGAGGTGCCTGGGAGGGGTGAGGACAGGGTAACGGTGATTGTAAGGGGTGTGATTATGCTGAATAACTAGTGCGATGGTGTGTGATACTGGGAGGGCCAAATGTGTGGTGCTGGCACCCCTGGGACAGGTGAGGGGAGGGTTGGGGAAAGGGAGAATAAGTGTGGTGAGGGAGAGCAGTGTCCAAGTGCGTGGGGATTGAAGGGCCAAGTGTGTGGTGCTGGCGCCTAACGTGTTGGAGGTGCCTGGGGCAAGTGAGTGTTTGGGTGGGGAGATGTGTGATTTTTTTTTTTTTTTTTCCATTTTTTTGTCATCACGTAAGCATGCGATTTTGAGTCCACTCAAAATCCGTACCATCACTTGGGTATGCCGTTTTGTTGAATTCACAAAACATCTTTACCCACACGTTCAAACCACCCCAATCCACCCATCCCATCCCATCCCCTCGTCCACGCTGTCCCCTAGGCGGTCTTGAGGCTGCCTCGGGAACTTCTTACTCTTTCTCTTTCTTGCTGAAGTGTTTTCTCTAGCAACTGCTGCCCTTCCACCATGAGTCACAACGACTTCAACACATGTGAAAATGCATGTGCGACGGGTGAAACTCGCAGCATCCCCGTGGTTGTGGCTCTCTCCTGACGGTGCCTCGCCAAGCTGGTACAATGCAGTGCTATCAGGTAACACACGTTACGGTGGAGAGCTGGTTATGTCAGGTAACACACGCTAAGGTGGGAGATGGTGGGAGTGCATGCATGAGGGGTAGTGCACGCAGCATTCCCATGGTAGAAACTCTTTTCTGACGACGCCCGGCCAAGGTGACTGGATGAGGCTGCTGGCTGCAGGCTGCGATGGATAGAGGCGGAGGTGGGGTGTTGGCGCTAGCATGTCTCACACCGAAAGAACGGGAATAGGGGGGTGCATGCTTGAGGGATAGTGCACGCCGCATTCGTGTGCTCGTGGGTCTCTCCAGCCAAACGCCGCCTAGCTAAGGTGAGTGGAGGCCGAGGTGGGGACCTGGGCTCTAGTGACCCCTGTCTTGACTCATGCAAGCATTGCTGATTCCCCACAGCACTCATGCGGCCACGGACTCATTGCAGCAGTGGCAAGGGCCGGCAGGGGCAGGGAAAACTGCCGTGGCAGTAAGGTCTTTGTGCAGTTGGTGTGTGGTAGCTGGGTAGGGGGACAAATGAGAGACGAATGAGGGGGAGACAGCTAGCTGTGGCAGGAAGAGGTCTTTGTCTCCCGTCACTTCGATTTTTTTAACGCCTCCAAAAGAGCGTGCGCCCTAGTTCTCTCTTCATCCCCTTCCTCACTTCATCCCGTTCCTCACCACCCCCCCCTCCCTCCCCTCCGTGCTACCATATCCTCTGTGCTTGCAAGCTCCAGCACGCCGTCTGCTGTTTCATGGAGCCTTCCTCCATTCCCTCCACTATTTCCCCCCACCTTCCTTCAACCCTTTTACAGTGTTCATGTCATTTCGTTGAGCCCATCTTTGCCCAGGGTACTGCGCCTGGTGCCGGGATTCAAGCATCAGCCCCACCCATTGGTACTGATGCGCAGAGGACTCACTCCCACCACCATATCACTCCCGCACCATATCACTCCATCACTCCCACGATCATATCACTCCATCACTCCCACCATCATATCACTCCCACCATCATATCACTCCCACCATCATATCACTCCCACCACCATCTCACTCCCACCACCATCTCAGTCCCACGCACCACCATCTCTGCTATGCATGCAAAGAAGCCTGGTGGGCAGCAAGAGGTCCAAGAGCCAGGCAGGTTGCAGCCAAGACTTGTTAAAGTCAAATGCGGAGTCATGATGGAGGAGAGTGGGGGGGAGGGGGGGGGGCAGTGTGCCTCTTCGTCTAGATAAGGTTAGAAGTGATATGTGTGAGATACTGTCAAATGTTTATATTTTCTAGATATTGTTAGTTATTCTAAGCTACAGTGAGTTGCCCTCTAAAGGGTACAACACTTTTTAGGTCGACACTTGTATCTCCTTGTTTCTCCTCACTCACATAATTCTCTTGACACTTCCTAGCTAATTTTAAGATGGTATTAGAGTAGGTAACTATTCCTACCTCCCACGCTTCTGCTCCTTCCCTTAGATGCTCCCGAGGCGCCCGTCCCTTAGGCTCCGCTTCGTCGCGCGTAGGACGGCCCCCGCGTGCCTCGTTTAGTCGCGTTCAAGGCCCCCCACCCTCCCCGCGGGCCCTCGTTTTCCCCACACGCTGAGGCAGGCCGTCGCGCTTAGGCAGCCCGTAGCAACAGCCGCAGTAGTGCACCACTGCATGCCACGCCCGTGGGCCCCGTTTAACCGCGATTAACAGGCCCCCGTGGGCCCCGTTTAGTGGCGTTTAACAGGCCTCTGCGGGCCCCGTTTAGTCACGCTCAGGAAGGCCCCGCGCGGGCCTGTTCTGCCACGTCCTGCCAGCCCGCGTGCACGCACTGCCGCACGCGCACAATTGCCTGCAGGCCACACACGCACAGGCCACGCGCGCACTCGCAGCAACAGACCCACGCGCACGCGGCCAGCGCATGCAACACCTGCATGCAGCAGCCGCGCACACCTGCTTTGCGCTCAGCCGCCAGCAGCAGCAGCAGCGCAAGCGCCCGCAACCGCCAGCAGCATCAGCACTGCTAGTGCCTGCAGCCACCAGCAGCAGCAACACTGCTAGCGCCTGCAGCCACCAGCAGCAGTAGCACTGCTAGCGCCCGCAACCGCCTGCAGCAGCAGCACTACTAGCGCCTGCAGCCACCAGCAGCAGCAACTACCCCTGCCCAGTCACGCTCGCACGTCCAGCAGTGCGCGTCCTAGCCCTTACAGCGCACGCTACAAACTGCCACACCGCGCGCACCCCACCCAGCAGCGAGCTCTTCCCCCTCCACCGTTGCTGTGCTCGCGCTCTCAAACGATTTTCCTGCTATAGGCATCTCCCATGGCGGCTGGCAGCCGCTCTTCTTTTTGTTTGCTAGAGTACGTTTTTCGGTCTACTCCTAGACTACCTTTCCGACTGACGTTTTCCAAACCTGGCGCTCCTAGCTCCACTCACTCCCAGCTCCACTCGTCTGTAGCTCGGCGCTCCTAGCTCCGGCCGCTCCTAGCCTGACCACTCCTAGCTCCGGTCTCTCCTAGCTTGGCCACTCCTAGCTCCAGCCGCTCCTCTCCTGGCCGCTCCTAGCTCCACTCCTGGCTGTTATCATGGAGTCCTCCCGCCGCCTACGTTTCGATGCGGAGGGTCGTCCTATCGACTTTAGTACGTGGCTCCACAAGGCTCAGCGCCACCTTACTAGTCAGCGCTAGGACGGTGCCACCTTGTACGCCCACGCGTCTGGCGCACTCCGGACTCCTGCAGGCCCGTACCCCCTGCCTGCTGAGCCCGCTCCCACTACCGACGCGCAGGCGGACTACGACATGATTTTCTTGGCGCGGGACGTTTGGGACTCTCGTGACGCTGCGGCTGCTCTTGCGCTGACAGACATTCTCCCACCGACTGAGGACGTCAACTTCTCCCAGGTGGAGACTGCGAAGGGGTGTTATGATGCTCTTGTTGCACGTTATTCCACCCCTTCCTTTGGCTCCCTCAGCCGCCTCCTTATGCCGTTTGTGTTTTCCGACCTTGGCTCGATTGTGACTGTCTCCAGCCTTGCCACTCACCTGCGTTCCCTCGACACTAGCTACCGTGCGGCCTGCACTGTGGCTCAGCTTCTCCTTGCCCCCCCTCCTACGTGGCACACCGTGCATTGGTTAGTCACTCACCTCCCTGACCGCCTCTCCTCTACCCGTGACATGCTTCTTCAGAAGCACCCCAGTGAGCTTACAATCGATCTTCTTGAGACCACTCTCTCGAAGATAGAAAGTAACCTCCTCTCTGTTGCCTCTGCCACTTACACAGTAGCTCCCCGTTTCTTTGAGGGGTGTGCTGTCCCTCAGCTTCTCACCTTCACTGCTACTCGTGCCACTGCTGCGGTGTCTGTCTCTGGGGAGACTGCAGCTGTCTATGCCGCTGGTTGGCAGAAACGGGGCAAGGGTGGCAAGAAGGGGGGGAAGGGGGGTGGTGGCGGTGGGGTGGCGGAGGTGAAGCTGGGAGTGGCAGTGGTGGCGGCGGAGGCGGTACTGGTGGACCTGGAGGAGGAGACCCTAGAGGCGGTCCTGGACAGGCGGGCCCGGCAGGTGGAGTTGTTGCCGCGAGCGATGGTCCGGGAGCCCAGCAGCAGCAGCCACAGCAGGGACAACACCAGCAGCAGGGACAGCCGCAACGGCAGTTGCCGCAGGAGGTTTCACAGTGGGGGCCCCCGCAGCAGTAGGGTCCGCAGCAGCACTGGGGCACCCCGCAGCACTGGTGACTTGGAGGTCCAGGGAGCACTGGTGCAACGGCAGCACTGCCAGCTTGGCCCCCCGCCCCCGTGGGCGCGACTCCGGCCCCTGCGACTACTGGATCCTCGCGGGACCAGGCAGTCCTTGTGTCTGCGGGCGCACCGACCACTCTGCAGCACGGTGCTTCCGCCGCCTCGACGACCTCTACCGTGCGTGTCACGGTCACAGGGAACGTACCCCGCGCTGGGCACAGCTGTTAGCACGTAAGATTCCTGTATTTGAACTGTCTATGGATGAGGCTCGTCAATATGCTTTGTATGCTGATGTTGACTATAGTGCTGATAGATATGTTTACTCGCGTGTTTCTAGACTAGTATCCTTGCCTGTTGCTAGTGTAGACTTGTGCCTCTCTAGTCTAGGTGCTTGTGTGGCTGCCCTAGGTGCTTGTGTAGCTACCAGACCAGGTGCACCTCCTGCTGAGGCGTCCCTGTCCTTCACGCTGGACTCTAGTGCGTCCTAGTGCTTCTTCCGCGACCACACGACTCTCACACCACTCCTTACTCCTGTTCCGGTAGCTCTGGCTGATCCTACCTCAGGACCAGCCGTTGCGCGCAGCTTCACCATCCTCCCGTGCCCTGTGGTCCCTTCTGGTGTCCTTCGAGGTCTCCACATCCCCTCGTTCACTCGGAACTTTGTGGGTGTTGGATACCTCCAGGATAGAGGGATCACAGTTACCTTTCTCGGGGGCGGGAGGACTGCGGTCTGCACGGACGTTGTCGCTGGTGTCGTTCTTGCTACGTTCACCAGGGAGCCTCGCTTCAGTCTCTACGTTCTACACACTGAGCGCTCCCAGGTCCCTGCGTCCCCTCAGGT